TCCAGAGCTCATATTATCATTGCCCTACCTTTGCAAAAGGCCCTACCTCTGCAAAAAATTGATCTATCGTTCGCAATTTTGAGTCAAATGCCTTGAGATAAAGATGGTATGTTTATACATCCTAGACGAGCCTTTCTATGTGGTTTCTGAAGCTGACGACTGGGATGGGAGTCCAAAGGAAAATCAGGAGTCGATTTTTGATGAAATCCATCAAAGGTAGGGCAATGATAGTAGAGCACAGGTTCGCTGCTTTAGCCGATCCAAGGATACGCCACGAGCGGGAGAAACACGTGGCTTACACTTGGGGTACGGAGTGTCCATTTCCAGGCTGCTCGACGTGAACGGCGTTACAGGCTTGCAGTCTGCGAACAACTCCGGCCCGGGGCCCAGCGACGAAAACGTATTTACCAGTTAGAAAGGTATGCAAGAGGGCAAGAGTCGGAAAATTAGAGCCACAGAAGAGCATTCCATACCCAAAAGTTGAAAGCCACTTTGCACCCGAAGATGAAGGAAAGTAACAGGAGGTGAATTTAAACTCAGCGAACCCATCTGATGCGTTGTCGCTGTTTCTCCTTGTGGTTCGACTGCTCCCGTGAACAGCACCCGCATCTTGCCCGCGTCGACATCCGACCATGGCTTCCACAATACCCATTGAACTGCAAGAGCAGATCCTTGACTGTCTGCTTGGCGACATTTCCTCGTTGAAATCCTGCTCCCGCGTCTGTCGCGCATGGGGACCGGCCACCAGGATACATCTTTATCGCAAATTCACGGCTGTGTACGATGCCAGCACGGAGCAAGATGATCCCGCGTTCTACCACTGCGGGATGTATGTAGAAGAGGTCCTCCATCTTGCGCCGTACATCCGCGAGATAGACATCCAAGATGGGCCGGGTGTCTTCCTTGAAGATGGCGTGGCATCGGAGTTGCATGCCCTGTGCAATATTTTGGACCATACGGGCTCTCTTCGCAGGATTTCAGTCTCAACATTTCGCGGAGTTTTCATGACCATGCGCTCATGGAAAGAAAACTCCGTTAAATTTAGGGCTTCGCTATCAGCGGCGCTGCGCAGATCGTGCTCGTCTCTCACGCATCTCTTCGTGTACGGATACTCGCTTGCTCTATCCGACGTCGAAATGTTTCGTGGCATGCAACGCCTCGAATATGTTGGCCTCGAGCGTATTGGTGTGGAATCCGACGAAAACGAAACCCCTCTCGTGCAGATCTCGCATGACGAATCACACCAAGGAAGAATTCAAACATTAACTCTGTATTTCAACTATTCCGATCCGGCCAATGGCCATCTCATCACTAGTCTGATAAACGCTCTGCACGCCGTTAACATTTTGGCCATCACCAATCTCCGTCTTGGTGGTGTGGTCAATGCATCGGTGCTCGAAGCTCTTCCTCCGCAGTGGTTGTCGAGCGTGACACGCCTGGGACTGGAACTGACCAACCTCAATCCCAGTCAGTACTCGTGAATGTCCGTATGTTTTCTTAGCTCACTTATTTCTCAGCCCATTCTTCGAGCCCACTTTCAGCTGCCTTGATCGCTAAAGTGCCGACCTTCCGCGCTGTCCGGGCCCTCGAACTTTCTCTAAACATTTATCCCTCCGCAGACCCACACGACCTGAGCGCCCTCGAGGTTTTCATGGACAAACTCCTCCCTCCGCATCGCATTGACAGTATCATTACCACTGTTGCTGCGTATGGGCCGCCTGTTTACATCGACGCCCTGCTCCGCCACTACGATTTCTGTCTCTTGCGCGCCGATGTCGTCAAAGTTCAATGGGAAGACGGCAGACTTGAATATTTGGAGGGCCCGTTTTCCCAATTTTTTGCCAATGGAACAATGCAAATAGGGAAATTTCGACGAGATAAATGGTGTGTAATAGTTCATTTGGACTTCATTGGTTGACGGTGCAACAGGATTTCGTGGTGACGGTGGCCGCGAAGGTCCCATCTTCTGAATCACAAGTAAATCCCGAAACGAAAAGTACAGTTCAATATGTGACTGCTGGGTAGTCGGTGTATCCAAGGCACAGGTCCACGTTGACATCACCGTACAAATGCGACATCGCTGGCAGATTATCCATCCTCTTGCCATGCCCGATACGTTTTGCGAAGTCCGGATGCGCCAGCCAAGGCATTCCAAAGAAAGCACCGTTGACTTGACCACTCTTTACGAGTTCCTCAGCCTCCTCGGGGGACACGCCGCCAACGAGGAACGTCTTGGCATTATTGATGAATTTTCCGTATGTAGATAACAGGTCATGAGGGGTGCCGCGTTTCTTTCCTGTCTCTGAACTTCAGCTTCCCAGGACGTGAAACAGCAGAAAATGTACCGTCGATTGTCGGGTCAATATGGGGTGCATACCGAGCGAGCGTGATGTATGCCAACTTCAGCTTGTCGGCTTCAGACACGAAGTAGCTAAAAGTCTCGATGGTGTCTTGAAGAGGCATTCTGATGTTGCTTTGTCCTTCGGCCAGTGATAGGGAGGGACAGCCCGGTTTCCCCATACCTGGGCTAATTTTCAAGGAAACATTGGGACCGAACACCTCCACTAATCCCTTTAAAATCTCGAGACCGAGTCGGGCACGGTTTTCACAGCTGCCGCCCCACTTGTCTGTCCGACGGTTCGAGGTGGAATCCAGAAACTGATGAACAAGGAAACCGTTCGCTGCATGTACTGCCAGGCCGTCAGTGCGGGTGAAGGTGGATATTAGGAAACACTACTCGCACTCTACCCCATCAAATCCGGCTAGCTTCGCATTCGCGGCAGCGTCCTTGAATAATTGAACAAATTTAAGTGGATCCGGTATTGAGGTGGCCTGACATAGGGCATAGAGAAGATGAGTAGTCTAGGAAAGACGAGTAGAAAAGACACATACGATTCCGAATTCCGAATTTCCTGGAAGGAAATGAAGGCAGCCTCTGCCTCCTCGGGCAGGAATATCAGAAGGACCATGGATTGACTGAGAATAACCTCAACGGCCAATCAATGCAACGGTTATTGCGTACCTCGGTGGGAGATTGCGTTTCTGCGTCCGACTTGTTCAGACGACCCACTTGTTCGAAATTCAACAAGTTGGGATGCATAACTGAGACGGTGACATACCATGCCACAGCTATTGTAGGACATGTGGATCAATGAACTGCGTCGGATCTGTTCCACGCACCTGACAGTAAATTTTACTCCCCGCTAAATGAACCACATTAGTTATTTTCTTCCAACCTGCGACTTGTTCCATGTTCCATATCCCAGGGCTTCTGTCGTACTGTGAACTAAGGGCAAGGTTTAGAGTCCGGATTGGAAATTTGGAATTGTGCCCCGCGAACCTTTGTGGTGAAATAAGAGTCGCTTCAGAGACAATGAGCCCCGCGCCGCCGAGAGCTCGTTGAAGATAGTATTTCTTCATGATGTTGTTGGGTATTCTCCTGGCGTCGGCGCGGTTTCTTGTCATCGCGCTCATCCCTGCGCGACATCAATACGCGTAAAGACCAGAGATTATACACGCACCGATTCGGTTTGCAATGGTGATATCTCCCACATCCAACGGGGTGAAAAGGACGGCCATGTTTAACGGTTTGGATGGATTGCTCATCTATAGCGGAAATTCTCAGCCCAGCTTTCTGGAAGGGAGAAAGAAGTCACCGTTTATCCAGTCGTACGCGGGGTCGAGGGCGGGATGCCGCCTAAAGTGTCGAATTCATCCGTTTAACCGTCATGTCAAGGGAAGTATGTCATCTCCGTTTATCCGTCGCGATCACGGGCGATGCTTTGCTGCCCGGACTCGGATCACTTCTACTTCTGAGTGTTCTCAGTGTATTCTCAGAGCTACAAAGTTCGTGCTGGACCGAATCGAATCGAATTGGAAGTTGAACTCTCCTGACCATGCCTTTGGTTTTAAGTTTTTGGCACCGGGACTTCCGGCTAGATTTTGACAAGGTTTAAAAATATGTTCGGGATGTGTACCACGTACGGGGGTAGCCACCGCGCTGCGGCATTCTGTCCTATGAAAATTGTATGAAACTGACGATTCTTGCGTTTTTCAACCCATAACAAACCGATATCTCGTGAGCCAATTGATCGGTGTTCAACTTCAAGTTGGAAAGTCAGAGTCAGCTCGGAGAATGAGCTGGAACCCTTCGAATCCGGTCGTAATCCAGTGAGCCCTAATATCGAGGGATTTTCAGCGTTCGATACCAGATCTCCCCATTCGCTCAAAGTAGGAGCGGAAAACCATACCAGCGCTATTCAGATGCGGGAGTTGCACCCTGAACGCTTGCTGTATTTTCGGTCTTGGAAGAATGGAAAGGGATGGCGTACATCTGATTAAGCCATATACATCTGTGACAGGCACAGTATCATGTTCGTCAATATGGACCGACGGACTAAAAAAAAAACTGCTGACCACGAACCCGGAAGGTGGCGGGTAACGAAACGCGGATGGCACCAGACACAACGTCCGATCGAAATATATATCTGCAACGGCATGTCAACAAGGAACTTGAAAGAAAAGAAATAAAAAACGAGGGTGCCCCACACACCAAGTCCGATTAAAGGGTATGTATCAGTGACAGCATCCCTCATTCCCAATACTTACCTCGGCGAAACGATCGCAAGAAAAGACGTCAATGCTTTGTTTGAACGCCAAATGCCCGCTGTGCCTTCTCATTGAGACGAGCAACGAAGAGCGAGTGTGCTCCACACACTACGTCTGATTTAAGTGCATGCATTGGTGACGTATCAGCATCCCCAGCAATTCGGCGAGTCGAGTGAAAGAAAGAAAAAACAGGTAGGCCGGGGGCATATCATTCAGACGCGGGGAGTCGAACCCTCAATGCTCGCTGTGCCTTTTCGTTGAGGAAGAGCGAGAGTGCCCCACACACCAGGTCCGATTGAAATTTGAAGGGTGTATGCGACAGACATCAGCATTCGCATCCGTGAAAAACCGGGAGCCAACCCCACGAAAAAAATTGGGGGGGTTGTCAGCCATTCAGACGCGGGGAGTCGAACCCCGAACGCTCGCTGCAATGACACGACACTGCATGACAGGCGAGGGTGTGCCGTACACCACGTCCGATTGAAGCATACGTGCCTGGGACTGGTATCAGCATCCCATTCGTTCGAAGTACATAATAGTAAAAAAAAAATGAAAATCGGTGAGCCTCCATTCAAGGTCCATAATTATGATGAAAAGCGAGTGCCGTACAACGCGCAAGTACGATGAAGGACACATCTAAGGGCAGGAAAGAGGCGGAAAAAAATTCTGGTGGACAAGCCAGTCAGACGCGGGGAATCGAACCCTGAGCGCTCGCTGCATTCCATCGACACTTGGATTACAGAAGGCGAGGATGAACCGTACACAACGTCCGATTGAAGGATACATCTGCGACAGAGTGTCAGCTGGGAGCGAACGTGGAAAGAATCGAAAAAAGTCAACGAAGTAAGGGCCATTCAGACGCGGGGAGTCGAACCCCGGGCTCTTTGCGTCCTCAGCAAGAGATACAGGTATTCCCAGCGACAAGTCCGAGCTACAAGCTTATGGTGGTTTTGTAGCAAGATACCTCAATCAGGTCTCAGGAATGAAGTGCAGATAAGTGTCTTTAAAAAAAAAATGCAACGAAGTTCCGAGAGAAGAAAAAAACGGAAGACGGAACTCTGTGGCGTGCCAGACCCTAGTAGCGCATCCGAGTGGCGTGCTGATGGGCCGAGTCCGGACTGGAAGCGAAAGAATGCGCGCACGCGAGATGGAAGCCGAAGAACGCCCGTACTAGGAAGAGAAACTGACCTGGCAGAAAGCACGCACTGAAGTACATCGATAGAAGATAAGTTCGACGAAGGGTTGACGGCAATTCGACGGGATGAAACTTAAGGGCTACCTCACGGCGCGTTGCGTGCCTGGTAAAGCAAGGTACGTCACAAGAGGGCGGCGTAATAGAAGGCTTCAAGAAAGATAATTCTTGCATTGCGGTCCGAGGCGGCAGTTTCTGTAGATCCGGTTCTAGGCTGCTTTTCGTGCCAATTTTTACGATGGAGGCAACAAGCTCATCGAGTGTAGGTCCAAGCATAGCCACAACAACAATAGCAAGAATGTAGAGACCCTTAGCGAAGACAAAAAGACTACACAGCCAAGATGTCGGGTGCACAAGACGAAGAATTGGGCTAAGCGAGAACAAAGACGGAGAGCAGGCTCACAATGGTTCAAACTCCGCTGATCACAACATTTCCCGATCTGGCCTCGACCGCCGCGTTTTTTGTCTCAACGCGATGGCTGCCGGTATAAGAACGCGTGTGGCGCAAGGCTCGTCTTCTTGCTGCTCCGAGCTCGTGTCTGGTGCTCTGCTGTCTCTCTCGTCCGCCTTGCTTGCCTGGAATCAGCCCTAGGACACTCGAAGGACACTAGCATACAGAGATGAGCTGTAAGCAGCTCGAAAAAAAACGAATCAAGGGAATTCTGACAACGGAACAGCAGTGTCACCGGTATCACCTTGTATCCAGCGCCAGTCGCGTGTTGCGCGTCGGATTCATGAACAAATGGATTCAGCAGAAGCGCAAGAACAATCACAGAACTCACCGGATCTCTCTGAAAGCACTGCCAGCATAAAGGCGAAACGTCGCCAGGGGGTCTCGGACCTCCTGATCCCACCGCTCGCGCTGTTCTCTTTCGCCACTCTGGGCAGCTCCGACCCGGATTGGCAGTTTACACACTGTGCAAGCGACTCGGAGTCTGGCGACGGCGAGGACCAGGTATTCGACTTCCCCCGGCCGCCGAAATCTGGCTTGGAGGCAAGCACGTTTTTCTCGCGCTACTCGCACTCGCCGCACTCGAGCGTCGATTCGACCTCCACCTCGAGCAGCTCGCACTCGCACATCCATTCCGAGTGCTCGAGCCCAACTTCAAGCGGTCCTCCTGCGACACCGACTTCTCCCACGATCAGGCCGCTAAGCATTAGGAAGCGCAACACGGCGGGTCTCTCTCCTCTGCCCTCTCCAGCTCGTTTTACGTCTTCCGGGTCTTCCCTACCTCGATCCGCAACTTCATCTTCATCCCCCCGCTCTTCGTCCTTACCGTCACGCGTTCCCTCTCCGCCCTCTTCCCCGTCGACGCCATCGCCGTCGCCTCGACATACAGTCAAATCAGAAGAGCAAGCCGCTGCTGCTGATGAGTTCTATGCCGTCCAGGCACGCGGATTCGTCACGCTCGCGCGCTCGGCACGCAAGCCCGGTGTAGTTCCTATCCTCCCGTCTACATCCACATTCACGGCTCATAACGTGCCCCCGCGCCCTAGGCGCGCACCACCGCCGCCACCGTCCCCGCTCGATGTAGCCCCGTGCTCTTTCAGCCCGTCTGTGTCTGCTCCCTCGGCCTCGGCACCGCAGTCACCTCACCTACGGAACTCGCACGTCCACACCAACTCTGCGTCGTATCCGCGCGCGCGCATGGCGACGTCGGATGCACATGCACGGCCACGCTCCAGCTCCACGTCCACGTCCTCCTCTTCCTCCTACTCCACGTTCTCCACCACCAGCCAAGCCGTTCCCTCCTCCGTGTGGTTCCCTTCGTCCTACACAGCCCCAGCCCCGGGAGCGGCTTCGAGCTCAAGGTCGCGCTCGCCCTCCACCTCCCGACCGCGCACGGGCCTGGTGCCCAACTTTTCGCGCCCCACGTCGCTTGCGCTTGGGCTGCTTATTCCGCCTTCGGCCGCAGCCGCAGTTCCAGTTTCACATCAGTCCGCGTGCCTCGCGCCACAGGAGCTCGAGCGCGACTACACCGCGGAGTACGACCCAGTCTCGGGGTACACGAATGGACTGGGTGCGCGCAGACGCAGCGGGGAAAGGGACGGGGAAGAGGACTGTGCTGGTGCCGGTGGTGATGGTCATGTCGACCTGGCAGACTTCGACTTCGCGGCCGACTACGCCGCCTACGCGCCGCTCCTGCGGACGCCAACGCCGAGTCCGGGGGTGGGCATGGGTTACGGTATCAGCATAGGTATGTTCTTCTCCTGCGCTGAGTTGAGCTGGGCTGACGGTACTTTTGCAGGCGCTACAGCACCGTGGGGCGCTCATGTGCACGGCGACGATGAGGACGAGTGGGTCGCGTACACCGAGGAGGCTGGGTACATCGAAGACGGCGGCGACGAGGAGCAGCAGCAGGAGCTTTCACCCCTAGTCGCGCCCGCACCGTCGCCTGCGCCGCTTTCTGAGTCGGAGTCGGAGTATTCCCCAGACGAAGACGACGACAACGAGGATAAGCAGGAGCACGGCGGGGACTGGCGCCCGCTTGTTTCTGTGCCTCGATCCTCCTGTGCCTCATCCTCTTCCTCATCCTCTTCCTTTTATGGTGCCCCGTTGCTCGCCCCGCCTCCTCCCCAGCCACCCCGCATACCGGCCGAGTCCGCCCAGCCCACCCCCGCGCTCCGCTCGCGCTGGTCCTCCTCCACACTCTCCTCTCTCCACTCTACACACGGCCGCGCGCGCGTCCCGAAGACGTTCTCCTTCGGGCGCTACCTCCCCCGCCCGCGCCCCACCACGAAACCCAAGCCCAAGTCATCCATCGCCCGTCCTGCACCGCGCCCCATGGGCAGCGTCACCGTCCTGCCCCCGCCGCCGCGGAGACTCCGCGCGCCTGATTACGCAGAGAGCTCTCGCTCGAGCTCGGGGTCAGTGTCGGCTGGGTGGTCGTACACTGCTGCAATCGCGCAGCGGTCAGCGGCTTCGTCGCCCCCATCTGCGGCAGGGCACCACTCGGCGCAGAGCTCGGTGTCTGGGCACTCTGCGCGCGGTTCCTTGTCGGTGTGGTAGTGAATCCGTGTGTGAACTTGAGGGGACAGGGAATTCTGTCTAGCAGCCATGTCCTGCTTTCGTTCATTTGTTGGTCTTCTTGCTTCGAATTACCTTCACTTCCCATCGTCTTGATATTGACACCTTCATTGTATCTATCCCATGCTCTTTTCGGTGTTCGCCCTGCCCTGTATTGTATCTGGCCCACCCACATTCATTCTTGTTGTCTTGTGCAATATGCATACTAGACATCCTCTGTAAACTAGAACATACTATCACTTTGTAGCCATAGCTGATTTATTTATTCGAATTTCCGATTGACTTTTTTGCAGCAGCTAAGAGTGGCTGTATCAATGGCATCACAGGCACTTGATGGGCACTTATCTTCCTTTGAGCCAACTACTCTCACTCCGAAAACTGTAATGTATTGGTGGCCCTGAGGGTGCTCCTAATACCATTAGTATACAACAGAGAATAAGAGAAGCTGAAATTGCACCTGATATGCAACAAAAGAGTTGGACTGAATTGGCAACCTGTATGTCCAGTATCAGATACAATTCCAGCTCTTCTGATACTCCCAGTCTCAGCCGCAATTTACGTTACGCTGATATTTTGACTGATGCTGGGGAGTATCAGTGCTGGCAGTATCAGCCACCGGCCTCATATGGGAAGAATTGGGTGATAGTCTTGGCCGCACTGATTCTTAGAGTATCGGGCCTGTGGCCGAGACTGCCGCTGATACGGCATCTTCAAATGCACGTAATCTGGCACTGATACTTTGAGTATCTGTCGAAATATCAGTCACATTCACAAACAGCTTGCTGTTGTGTACTAGACATCCAAGAATACAATCAAAATGTGACACAATTTGAAATCAAGCTGATGTGGAAAAGTCTCAGGCTGCGAGGAGTCAACTGAAAGTCGACGACAAGCAGTGTCTTCAGGACCACTCTGCTCCTGGTGTAACATTACAGTAAAATGGCTCAAAACCATACATTCAGAAGACTGCGGCTGATTTTCTAATAAGAGAACTCAGCTGTTCTTACAATCATGTACTATTATAACCCCTGATGTGTCCATGCACCCCGAAGTGGAATTTTGGGAATCCCGGTCGCAAATCTGAATAGAACACTTGGAAAAAATAGTATATGTTGGCCATGTATAGTAGCTATCTTCTTCCCGAAATTTAGATTTATTGTCAAGAAATGAGAGCTATGTACAGAAAATCAGGATGCCAAAATGAGCTGTTTTTCAGTCAAATCTGATTCCACTTCCCCAATATCTCTCTTTCTAGGCTAT